CATGTAGAAACACAAATTCTGTGCCCATGGCACCCTTAAACAAATGTACATGTCGTTCCAGAATGATGTCCAAAAAAAGTTGGCCTGTCATGGTTCCGATCTGAACACACAGATCTCTTCTGGAGCTGAGTACAATTCCACCCCAAACAAGCAATCCTGCACCACCATAACAGTGTCATTCAATGATGTTTTCTTGGTGGTAGTGGATACCTGCAGTTCTCCATATGGAAGTCTGATGTTAATCATACTGCAAGCTAAACCTGGACTGGTCGTAAAACATCACACAAGCCCACTGTGACAATGTCCACATTGCATGTTCCCTACTCCAGACTAAACACTGGCAACAGGAAGTTGCTGTGAGCAGAAAATATCTGACATGCCTACGAGCATATAGAGCAATCTGTCTCAAACACCTGTACATACTTTGCCTTGACTCTGTCATACACGTAGCTGAACATAGTTGTTGAAACAGGTCTGATGCTGTGCTCCGTCTGCTTCTTTTAGCAGTTACTGCCAAATACCAGTTGTCATTCGGCATCGTAACCCGGAGGCGACCTGTATTGTAAGCAGAAAGCGACAAACGATAATTCTAATTTTGATTTTATCCAAAAGTATTTCAGTATATGAAGACTTTTGTGAGATAAAATGTTATCCTTTTTATTTTAAGTTCTAAAATAAAGTTTCACTTATTAAAAAAAATTATGTAATTTGTTACGGACGATTATAGATCTTATTATAAAATCTCATTCAGAAAGTTATGTGATTAATGGATCGAGCTCTATTCAATGAAAATATAAGTGTAGAATACTTTTAGAAGCACTGTATATAAATTGATCTTACTTGATTAAGATTTTATTAAAAAAAATTCAGATTTCTGTTAGATAAGATTTAAGTAATAGAAAATTTGCAAAAGTAAATAAAAATAGACTTATGTCAACAATTAAGTAACTAGAAAATTTGCATAAGTTAAAAAAAACGGACTGTTATGCAACATACTATAATAAAATATATACTCTGGAAAGTATTCATATACAGCTATTAGATTGTGAGATTTACAAAATTTGAGAACCGTAAATTATAAGCAATATATTCCATAATCTGAGGAACATTATATTTTTTACAGTCAGACAAATTATAAAAATGTTATGAAAGCAATAATGAAACCTGATTTTGGTCTATGAATTCATGCTATTAAAAATGTCAACGTCTGGCAACAATTCATGAACTTTTCACACAAAACATTTACGACTCATTTCAGATACAACATTTTGAGAAATGTTTCATCTGTATTTTTCATACGTATGGCTGCATCATTCAGAAGAACATGATATTGTCATGTTTAATTTCATCAGGGGTTTTCCCACATCTGTTTTAAGGAGAAATAATTTCAATGATATCCTGGAACTGGAATCATCCTAGGGTACATATTAATTTGTCAACAGATGTTATTTATAATGGAAATGAGAAATTGCTTTTCCATCTCACTTTGAATATTATAAATGCATTATGTATTGCATTGCCTGGCCCTTTTCAGCTCAGTGCAGAACATTATTTGTATAAGTTTCCAACTCTTTCAGAGATGACTTTTCAGATTCAGATATGAGATTGTAATATGTTGTATTAAAAAATAAATATCTTTCTATTGAAGTGCAACGCCATAGTTGTATGCGTACCGTGTCAGCAGTCCGCACTGTTTACCTGGACTCTGAAGTTTTACGCTGTCTGAATTGCCATAAAGAATTTCTTCAAATTCTCTCTCCCTAATAAAAAAAAATATATGTTTTATTAGAAGACTTGTTATTTGTCATACGCAAATACGTACAATAAGTCGTGATCGCGCTGATAGAAAAGAGTTGACTTACAGAGATATTCCTTATGCTCAAACTGACAGTTGTCGGCAAGCTAAAGCCCCCCAAATGAAAGAAAGGTCATTTCGAACAAAGATTCCCTCCTATCATAAAAAACTTGCCTGGCAATACCCTAGCTTAAGATTGGCTCCCCAGCGATGCTGGCGCTACTCTGATGACACAATGATTGAACTATTGAAGATGTTCTAATATTATGTACAAATATTCCGGAAATTTTAAAAGGCCGCAAAATCTCTGGAGAACAAGTTCTGTTTTTTTAGGCTGCACTTTTAGATTGCACAATCCTCCATGTAATGCTAGAGAATTATGGGCGTGATGGAACGGATGGATATGTTTAATAAACCATGACTGAAGCATTTTCTTTTCCTTCTGGTGCCTTACAATTTGAGAATGTCGAAACGGGATGACAGAAGAAAGAGTGATAAATTAGCTCCAATAGAGATTGTTTGAAAATTTTGTCGAGAATTGTCAAATTATATCAGTGGGGAATACATGATTTGAACAAAAAGCTAGAACCTTTTTGAGGACGATGCTCCTTTCGGCAGTATATACCTAAGAAACTTGCAAGATATTGTATAAAGATATCTACTGTGGTTGATTTTAGAACCTTCTATACTTACAACATGGAAATTGACTCAGGTCAGCAGCCAGATGGGTCATACAAGAAAGTTAAGAGTTCTTGTGAAAAAGGAAAGTGCATCCTAGCTTCGTTATACAATTCTAGAAGGAACATTTTTCAGAATTGTCATTTGTTTGACACGACGTGGTAGACCAGTTATGAATTGGAGAATTTCTTACAGAGAAATAAAATTCCTATCGGAACAACATGCAAGGATAAGAAGATTAGACTAATCTTTGACTGGTAACAGGTAGTTTGGCGACATAGTAAGGCAATAAAGGTACTAGAGGACTTTAGCAGTGGACATGGATAAACGTCAGAGAGTGCGCAATGTGTTTTTGTGCAATTCTGGGACGTTTTTAAGTGAAAAAGGTCGACGTGTAATGGATCCGTGTATGTGCAATTCTTAAAACGCGGCAGCAGTGGGCGATTCTGCACTTTCCCAATTTCACACCTAATCTTCATCATGAGTAAGCACTTTTGTTCCATAAAAGTTCTAGCATAATTAATCGGCTAGAGATTGTTGGAAAAAAATGTGAGGAAAATAAGCCTTACTTCGTGAAAACAAAATGCATCCAAAAGAAAACTAGCAGGTTGTTGTAGCAGGGTGGTCGCCAAATTTTGCCAAAAAAATCGCCATGTTACCATAATCCGAAGATTAAATGAAGATTATCCCACCTGAATTGTGTTGAATAAGAATAGAGAAAGATTAAAACTTTGGGGTTTCAAAGGATATAATGCTACTTTCTATATGGCTGAAAAGACATGTGTTAACCTTTTTTCAACTATGCACAATGATGACCATATTGATGAAAGTATGGGAGATTTGAAGAAATCTGAAGTAATTACGTTTTATAATATGACAAAAGGAGCAGTTGATATAGTCGAAATGGCTGGCACTTATTCTGCGGCCAGAATATCAAACCGATAGGCATATTTTTTTTGCTATTAAATATTGCCGGCATAGATTCAAGGATCTTGCTTTAATCTACTAAGACTCCACCAGAGATGTTCAGGAATAGGAGGCATTTTTGATTTGGCCTTTGCACTTGAAATGCTCATTTAAAATCATAACAGAAACAGTAGGAATACAACAAAGATTCTCTGGAAGATTCGCAAACAAACAACAGAAAATTATGTTACCGGAGATGTTACATGTGCTCAAGGAAAAAAAGAAAAAAATCAAACTGTATGTGTGAAGTGTAAAAAAAAAATATGTCAAGAACACTGTGAAATAGAAACTTAGTATAAATTATGAGCCAATTGATTTGAATTAATTATATAACTCTTGTCAGTAAAATTGCATAATTGGATTATAATTGCATTCAAAAATAAAAAAACACAAATTTCTCATCGAAATCAGCGATAAATGTCATTATCAACCTATTTGTTTTACTTCTGTATGCTAAATATCCTATAACTTGACTTGTACACCTCTAAAATTATTGCTTCCATATGATAAATATCTTGCAACTTAAGTATACACCGCTAAAATCATGGCCGATTAGCCGTTGGTGAGCTTGGCGAATAAATACGCAGCGGTGCCAACGGATCCGCTATAGTAACTTTAAGAAAAACATGCAATTTATCCCTCCTGCCATCAAAGCTCTGATACCTACCAAATTCGTTAAAGTTACGTGGTCAGAAATGGCGGCATATTTTTCAGCTCAGTATTTAAGGTTACCATAAATAACAAGGTTATCATAATTTTTCATTTATCGTGCCAAAATGTTGCTAAAAACATTTCTCGCCAAAAACGACTAATACTAAAGCTGTGCCCAGTTAGTACACACTCAGTATTTCGGTATATAAGTAGTATGTTTTCAAGAATTCATTAATACATTACAATAATTCCACAGTAATAAAATGCAAATACTTCAGTTTCAATGGGAAACATCTTTAAAATATTATAGCAACATAATGCTAGTTGAAAGCATAATCACTTCAAACTCAAATTGCAATCACTTTCAAGTTTACATAATCTCCGATTACAAAACGTATCACCGCTATGAAAATTCACGTCAACTACACAGCAAAAATATTCTATTTCGCTAAGTAACCCCTTTTATTAAAAAAGAAAAGTCTGTTTGGTCAACTATTTAATTTTACACTTCACTGAAAAATATAATGTTCCGTGGAATTATATTTTTTATTATATAAGTATTATGCAGTTCGTTAGAGAAAGAGTTACCGCAAGAAATGGGAAAATAAACCAGCATATATGCAACTCATCCAGTTCACAAAAGCAACGAACTGTCAAACTTTCACACAAGGAAACTGCATAAGTTTTGTATTTAATCGTCAATTTAATGTAGTTCGATCTTTAAAAATAAATAATTCCATTTCGATGACAATAAATAAAGCGAATAGTTAGTAATTAAATATGTATACTCAGCTCCAATGAATCTATTTTACCAACTACCGGCATTCTAAGAAGACATCTATTATTTATACACACGTATACATATAGCAGCAACTAGACCAACATAAAAGATACTGCAACGTCAACTTACCGGTATAAACTACGGATTCAGTAACAAAAATTGGAAATATTCACTACTTTGTTGAATTAACTGTAGAGAATCCGACATCATTATGTCTCATCCTGAGAGCAGTTATCCACATTTAATATAAGCAAAAATAAAATTCGCTCAAACGAAATACCATTACAACACATAAACGTTAACACACCTGATGCCTCACCGTTCCTTTAACCTGTCCGCCAGGTGAACCAAATGTCACTTAATTTCAGAAGTATCCTTAAATTGGATAGACGTAATACATTAATTTAAAACCATCCATAAACTAGCAGAAAAAATCACACTTTTTTGATATATCACTATCATATTATTTTTAAATATTTATGGCATTCAGCCTTTTTAATCTGTATAGTAACACAACTGACTCAAAATATGAAATACACGTAAGTACACATTTGGCCACCAGAGAATTTAATGAGTAAATTCTTCAGACAGAAAATTTTCCAAAAGTTTAAAATAAGATATTATATAAAGCAGAAAAGTACGAAAGCAAAGGATTGCGTAGCTGCTATGAGATAAATGTGACTTTTATTTTCAATTTGCGTCTCCTTCAGATGCAATGAGATACATTCCGCAAGAGAATAAGAGGGAAAATGTGATCACGTGGTTTATGAACAACAATCTCCACATGTAGTGTGTTTACAATGAAATGTATTGTGTATAGCAGGTATGACACTAAGTTCTTTTCCTGACTTAGAAATTTACAGCTATTGCGAAAAAATTAAAAAGTACCCTTAGAAGTGATTTCTCTTGCTTTTATATCAATAAAAAGGGTCTTCTCTCTTTCAAGGAAAAACATGTGAACAGTATTTGTTTAAAGCAATGCCATATAGCAAGGTATTTATAATAAGCTGTGTTAAGGCAGAAATGAACAAAGCAATTAATTATAAACCATTTATGCAAATTTCTGCAGAAAATGAGGTAAGATATATAAATTCTCTTATACACAATGATTACTAACATTCAAGTTTTACGTTATTAGGAATATTTAATATGTATACCAGTTAGTTGGAGAAAAAACATAAATACTAAGCCAATTTTCTTTTATGAATATTAATTAGTGCTATAGAACATTTTATGCCACAACATTTATTAATTTTATCACGGTGTGTTTTAATAATTTAGCTGTTATAATCATTACGCGTAAATATTGGAAAGTTTAATTTATCTAATATTTGACATTCTAGATATCAGAATTAAGCCATATGAATGTAAAGAAGATGTGATAATTCTCAAGTTCTTTGTGAAATGTAGTCAATTTTGGTGAACTTTTCTCACCTGTATACACTGTTACGTAAGGCGTTACGTTCGAACCACGGAGTTTAATGAAGGAGGTGAAACTGTCTAGTAGAAAAACGATCCTAAAATGTCGCGTTCACTAGATGGCGCTGTTGTACCATCTTAGTAGTTCCAAATGTAAACATTTATTGAGTAGCCAGGCGGCGAGGCTTACTACCGAATGAAAAAATGTTTATGTTTTTAATGTCATGGATTGCGTTATTATTAGCGTTATAATATTCTGCTCACTAATGATTGTATTTTATTCCTCAAATTATAAAATTAATTTACAGCTTTCATGCTGTAAGGCTTGTAGTACTTTTTATGAATGATTAATTTAATGATTATTTTTCAGTCCCTCCCCCTTAGAAAAATAATCATATTACTAGTAAGAATACTTGCTGTATATATGTTAATTTAATAAGAATAGTTTCTTCGCATCTCTCATTTTGTAAAATGCTTAGATACACAGCTTGATATAAACTGGTGGCGAAATTTTAATGAAGCTTATAGAATTTTTGCTTCAGTCAGTAAATTTCTTTACTATAATAATAAGTTACTCTTTTTTATGAATCAGATGTCAGTTTTTGATTTTGATATTTTTATCGTTTTCTGTGTTAAAAATTTCCATATATTTGTTATTTGAGAAGTATGTTTCAAATTGATTTCAAAAAGATTATAAAATAGAATTCGGATTTGAATTCAGTTAAGTATTCTGAACGCTTGGTTATGCTGAAATATATTATTCATAATTAAATATAAAGAGTAAAAATATTGATAATTAATCTATCTTTAATTGTTGCTTGAATTTCTAACCATAATGCAGTTTTTAACTACATGCATTTTTTTTTTAAAAGTACATGTCCTTTCTTCCAAGGAGGAATTCTATCCATTCAATAGCCTAAAGTGATACCTGTTCATGTGGTGTGCATTAGCACTGAAGGCGTAATGAGTACGTTTCCTCAAGCACAGTTTTCATTAAAGAATCATAAGTCAAAAAGTTAACTACGAAATCTTTATTTAATAAAATAGGATAATTTTGCTTAACTTAAGCATAACAAAAAAGTAATAATCTTCACAGACATTAAAACACTGAAGTATTGAAAAGGAGATAACTTACATAGAATCATCATCAGTCCTAAATATCAGGCTTACCTATTTTAGGCAATAGAAAAAAGAAAACAGGAACATACTTTAACACCGTACCTGAAAAGAGAAAGTACTACTGGATTAGACCTTTGGCCAGGTACAAGTAGCTAGGGTGAAAATCAAATATACTGCATTGCACACGAACTTTACTTTCTCTCGCCAATATATATCTTGGCGCACGTTCGTTTCGTATGCCTTTCGAGTTTCATTATGCAAAATACCTAAATTTATGCTAACATTGCCCCTGTTTTGCTAATGAAACTCATACCAATTGCAATTCATTCCTGCAAAACTGAAATTTAGCTTTAGGAATTGGTTTAGTCATAATATCAGCAACCATTTGCTCTGTTGAAAGATAAGCAAGTTTTACTATTCCTTTGTTATTCAAGTCGCGTATATGATGAACTTTTGTATCAATATGTTTTGTGCGCGAACTGAATTTTTCAGATTCTACAAGTCTTATAGTAGACTGATTATCTTCAAATACCTTTATCGGTAGAGTTTGGGGTAGATTGAAATCTTCTGTTAATTTTAATAGCCATAATAGTTCTTGCGTAGCTTGCGATAGTGCAACATATTCAGCTTCTGCTGAGGATAAAGAAACACAAGTTTGTTTTCTTGAAAACCACGAAATACAGTTTTTTCCTAATAAAATAACACTTCCTGATGTAGATTTTCTATCTTCAATATCTTGTCCCCAATCAGCATCTGAATAAACTGTAATATTAGGTTCTTCACTCGACGAAATTTGTAAGGATAGATTCTTTGTCGTGTTTAAGTATCTAATGATTCTTTTAACAGCATTCCAGTCCTTTTGACGTGGATTATTACACCTTCTGCTGAGTATGTGAGTTGAAGCTGTGATATCTGGTCTTGTGATAGACGATATATACAAAAGGCTTCCAATAGCTTGGCGAAATTTATCATTTGAAGTTACGAAATTTTCTTCCTTGTTTAGGTTATAATAGTTTGTTTCCATTGGTGTGCTAACGGGTTTCGCTTCTTCAAGTTGAAATTTGATTTTTTTTTCCCCTGTGATAAGAGATAACTTCCATCTTCCTTGCGATTTATTTCCATGCCTAAGAAATATTTAGCTTCACCAAGATGCGTTATTTGGTAACGTTTCTTTAAATCATTAATTGTTTGAAGAATTAGTTCTTCTTCTGTAGAACTTATTAGGATGTCATCAACATACACTATTAAATTAATTCTTTTATCACGAACCACTTTTGTGAAAAGACACGGATCAGCTTTGCTTTGACTGAACCCAAGATTCTTCAATGTATTTTCAATTTCTGCATTCCAGCACCTAGCTGCTTGTTTGAGACCATAAATCGACTTCTGTAATTTACAAACTTTATGTCTTTCTTTCCGGAACCACGAATCCTTCTGGTTGTTCCATATATATTTCTTCATTTAAGTTGCCATACAAAAAAGCTGTTTTAACATCTAGTTGATGTACCTTGGCATTATTATACGCTGCCCATGCTAAGAAAACTCTTATCGTAGTGTGTTTCACTACTGGTGAAAAGTTTCATCATAATCACTGCCGTATTTTTGAGTAAATCCTTTGGCTACTAAGCGTGCTTTGTATTTTATATTTTTACCAGTTTCATCATATTTTGTCTTAAACACCCATTTGCTGCCTACTGCATGTTTTCCTGGTGGTAATTCTGTAAGTTGTATAGGTTTCATTTTCTTTTAGAGAATGTATTTCTTCTTGCATAGCCTTGATCCAAGCTTCTTGTTCACGTTTTGGTAAGTTTAGAATTTCTTCAAAGCTTTCTGGATCTTTATTTTTAGGTAAGATTGATTCTTCGTCTTCTGCTTTATAAGAGAATCTTTCCGGTGGGACCCCTTTGGTTGATCTGCTAGAAACCCTTCTTTCTACATTTTCTTCACATTTAATTAACTCTTCGGAACTTTTTGAATCTTCTGTAAAATCATCGCCAAGAGATGTTTCTTCATTATTTTCTTCATCTTCTTGCGAGTTATTGAAGTGAATTAATTCTAAATCTTCAGCATTATTTTCTGCAATGTTTGTCAGGATAAAGACGCGTTTTCTGAAAATTTAACAGTTCTACTTACTATTATTTTTTCTTCCACCTACATAAATCCTGTATCCCTTACTTCGTAAATCGTATCCTACGAATATTCCTTCTTCAGCTTTGTTGTCGAATTTACGCCGTTTTTGTTTGTTCACATAATAAAATGCTTTACAGCCAAATACTCGTAAGTGACTTAAGTTTGGTTTTCTACCATTCCACAATTCATATGGTGTTCTATCTGTGGCTTTAGTTGGTAACCTATTTTGAAGATATGCAGCAGTAGCTGCTGCTTCAGCCCAGAATCCTTTCGGTAATTTAGAGTTTATTAGCATAGCTTTTGTCATTTCTATTAAAGAGCGATTTTTCCTTTCTGCTACGCCGTTCTGTGCCGGACAATAAGGAACCGAAGTTTTATGAAAAATGCCAAGTTTCTTTAAATAATTTTCAGTAGTTTCGTTACAGTATTCTGTACCGTTGTCGGATCTGAGAACCTTTATTTTCTTTCTAAATTTATTTGTTGTCGATGCAACATACTGTTTAAGTTTGTCGAATACTTCATCTTTTGAAGTAATAAAATAAATTTGAGTATAACGCGAATAGTCATCAATGAAAGTTACGAAATATCTTTTCCCTCCTAAGCTGTTGACTTCAATTGGCCCACACACATCTGTGTGTGCACTAAATCCAGTGGATTTTTAGATCTAAAACCAGTTTTGGGATAAGGATTTTTCAGTTAGTTTCGCTTTTACACAAGTAGAACATTCCACACTATGAGTGCATTTGCCAAGTTTAATGCCGTCTGCCAAATCATTTTTCTCAAGTGTTTTTA